CTAAGCAGGCTGCGGACGTTCAGAGCCCTCACGTTTGTGTGTAAGCCTCCTAAAAGAACCGAAGAGTATACACATATTTGTTGTGATAGGGGAAGAAATAAGGGAGGTTGCCGTTTTTTATAATACCAGAACACATTGCATTACAACCATAATAACAGCGAACTCAACGGTCTGAATCAAACTATGTGGGCCAATATACCCCTCTAAAAAGGCTGTAGTACGAATTGTATGCATTTACAGAGCGCCTAGTACACCTAGTGACTACGAAACCTAAATTACTGATGCACTGGAAAAAGTGTCTACTCTTCCATACAAGCATAAGATCCCATGTGGAAACTTTAGCCAACGCGAAAAAAACCGGGATTTGTACGCTGGCTTAGATAAATTCGATAAGTACTTAAGTACACTGAACATCTTTAGACAAAAACTCAATGTCCTCATGCTTAAAATATTTAAATATATACGTTGTGATGCACTCGTATGTGATGTTTTTCACACATCTTCTTTCGCGCCCTCGTTTTCGTTTGTTTATATCCAAAACGTGAACCATAACCGTCTAATTTTTTATCTCTCTCTCTCTGGACGAAAGCCGTAGTCATACAAGATGGTCTGCTGAAGGTAATCGTGAGGATCACCTCATCAGGGTCTTGGATATTAAAGGGTGGGAGAATAAGAAGGCGGAGACATATAGGAAACCATTCCTATATGTGGATGGTACTCCTTTGCTAATCCCCGAGTTTGAATGACTTATGGGAAAAAGGTGTAAACTACCTGAAAGCCACCACTGAAATTTAAACCCCCTTTATGCGGGTATGTGATGTAAGCTCACTAAATCAAAAGATGCCCAACTGGACATACAGAACAACAGTTCAGATATTATTACAACTTAATATAGGTTTGCTGCAGCAGACATATAAAGTTCAGGCATTATACTTCCTTCGCCTGCCTGTGTATTACTCAATATCATGAATGGTAGGCTTAGTGACGGTATATACAACGATCTAGGCCGTGTAGATTCCTGCAAACGCTTTCGTGATATGAACCAGAAGACAAACAATTTGACTCCTCTGATTAATCCGGTTTCTTAACTTACACCCAGCTGTGTGGGCAAAACTGAAGAATTGTTTTAAAGGGCTAGAAAAAAAGATATCAAAACTGATGTTGCCTAGTCAAACTGGTATTAGTAGTATTTCAAATTAATAATAACGACAAGCCGCTAACCTGATAAACTACGTTGCAACTGAAGTACACCAACGCATAGTGCGTTGGAAGAACATAATTGTTCGCATCATTCTATATGATGCGCATATCAACAAGGTAAGAAGTACTCTTCTCAGTGCATCTATATGGACAGTGTCTCATGCAGTTGCCATCGACTAAGAAAATTTCGGAAAAACAAGTCATGTCCATTTGTGCTGAAATTTGGCCCATCCTATAATGCTAACATTCTTACAGTAAGCGAACACTTCTGAAAAATACGCGTTACCATATCATTAGGATAGTTCATGACAGGACGCCGATTCAAAGAAGGACTGATGTCGAAATCGTTAAGTCCAACTCCTCTTGAACAAATCTGAGCGCCAACACTTCTGTTGAGTCTGAACAGGAGGTTATGGATCTGCCAACGCAGATCACATCATATACAGAAACGAACTTCTGTAAACACAAGTTCAAAAATAGTTCAATAAGTAGTCACACGCTAAAAAGTATGTTAGCTATAGACCTAGACTGCTCTGTTAATGATCCATATACTCCCGTTGTAACGACAGAAGGCAAGAGTCAGGCAACAGATCATTTATTAAGGAAATAAACGCATATTAATACATTTCATGTACATTACTATGGATATGTAAACAAACAAACACAGTCTTCCGATTGGTTGTTTCTCACGACAAATCTTGGGAACGTAAATATTGACGAAAATTACTATGGATATGTAAAAAAAACACGGTCTTCTGATTGGTTGTTTCTCACGACAAATCTTGGGAGCGTAAATATTGACGTAAATTACTGTCTACCAATTTGGCTAGTAGACAGCTCTCACCACACCGTGACACATTCCAGTATATCACACTCTGTGCTTATTGGTCAGAGTGGTCTTAAATTCATGAAAATGAGGAATGTGGCTACCATTCTGTCCACAAAGCCAGAGCTTCTTAGCAGGACACTGCCGCACAGTAATTCAGAAGATCACAACTTGCTTCGGGGACAAATATTTACAAAATTGACAAGTGTATAAACCATTTAACAGAACCTGAACTTCGTAGCAATCTGTTCAGAAAAGGTGGCTGCCACGCCATCATGAAATGAAAAGACTGAGAGACATCGGTGTTGGTCACCGAACACAAGAAACAAAAGACAAAATAATTCGAAACAATTCAGCTGGATTCGTAGGCCACGAACAAGAAGGTACATGTCTCCAAAGGGGATCACAGAATTTCGTCGACTCAAATGAACCTCAGCCGTTTTGCCGTCAACGGTCAATTTGTTTAACCATGAGGTTTGAAACACAAGGTGGTCAAAACAATTTTCAACGGATGAAAGCTTGGCAGTTTCGCATGATCTGACTACCTACTAGTATAATCTTCGATTCGTAGTCAACAAATACATCTTTCAGCAGCCGTGAGTGCTACATTCTCCCTTCACTAGTTGGGGCGGTGTTAAGGGCAGCCTGATTACCGGGTAAGGTCGGCCAGGCCAAAGAGTTGGCAGGTAATGTGTCTAGAGCTCAGGACTAGAGAGATTGATGGCCATCCAGGAATCATGAGCATTATTTCTAGTCGAAACCAACTGGAAACTAGCTCACTGTCACCCAGGAACCAACAGGTTTCCTAGAATAGTATATGTGATAGGCCAGAAGTGTAAAGTTTCCAACAGTGCTTTACGTCCACATTATGATGTGTTTGTGAGGAGGACAAAATCTACAGCTATAAGATCGTGAAACTTGGTTTGTTCTGGACAAGACCGTCGAGTATAAATCTGATGTCCTTCATTAAGGTCTTGCGAAGAGTATCACTATCAGACAGTACGAGTGTCCTCGAGTATCGAAGTATATGGTGACCTGATGGGAGGCATTTGCCGTTAAAGCTATCAACGTGCATTATACTGTATGATTTAGAAGAGCCGAAAGAAATGCAATGCTACAACCACAGTTATTGCACAAAACATCTCTGAGCTAAACACCAAATAAGGAGGGAGGACAGCGCATACTGATCAGCAGATTTGGTGATGGTCGCAACTGTGAACCGTTACGATCTGTGGGACAGTAAAGTGCGTTTCTAACAGCTCCAGAATTAAACATGATTCTAGGATCTTAACAAAACAGGGTTGTATAGATTAAATTTAAAAAATTTATTTCGCCCTTAACATCTGCAAGCTCGCTCAGCTACATGTCCAGATGCTACCTCAGGGGCACTACAGAAATTCGTCAGAAACGATACAAGCCAGTGTGTAATACAAGTTCCAACTCTTCACATATTCCAATTCATTTCTGACTGAAATGTCAGTTATACGCTTCAGGCTAACTTATCAATCGAAATAACATTGTGCCTGATTTTATCTTAAATATTTAGGCATTTAATAAAGCAGAAAACACCAAAATACTAGACAAAGACTATATATTTTCTGTATTAGAAGCTTGATATTTACACGTATGTGTCTGAATTTATTTCGTATTGACATAGGTTAATAACATTTAACCATCCTAACATGTGTTGCGTCCTATAATCAGGCAGTGCACTCTTACAACTTGTGTAATAATAACGTATTTATTTTTGTTTATGCAGAAACATACCAACTGTATAGGCATAGATAAACTATTACTTAAATTATATAAGTTTGGTCAATGTTTTAATTTAGACGGTTGCTGTTTTTTCTACTTCATTCAGCAGGAACAATCTGCTAACCACTCAGTCAATGTAGCACTTTAAGAAATATAGAAATATCGTCCTCGCAGTAGCAAAGAAACCTGGTGTGTTCTGGATGGATGACAAATACCCGGGAAAATATCAAGCTTAAAGTCAATCGTCCTATTTAACATCGAGGTTTATGGCATCGAAACGTACTCTTGATTTATAATCAGATGGCGAAAGGTAGTGGTTAACTTTCAGTAACAATAATTTATCTGATACAGTAAAACCATTTGAAAATAATAATTTATCTCTCGTATAAACGGATAAGTTTACATGAAATGCATATCATTTTTACAGACACGATCAGTTATGTTATAAAATACAGAACTGAAGTGTCATAAATTAATACTTTTTAAAAAGTTTATATTGCTGGACTATTTTAAAGGCACTCAGAACAGGTTCGTATGAATGTTAGATTGTAGGCCCCTCACTAAGGTCACTATCTGAGTTGAGAGCCTACCCAAACTTCGTTCCGTTTCTTGCTGATGGTTATGGTCAACCAAAGAACAGTGTAAAAATTTGGATAAGTGCTATGCCCCACATGATTAAAAGCTATTTCAATGGCCAAAGCTCCAGTAATATAGATAGGTTGGACAAGTTGTGATTTGGACGGGTGATGTTTCACCTTGTGAATGACGTCAAAGCAAGACATTGTTGAGATGGATTGACGATCGCCAACTTCTGAAGTTGTCTACTAGGTGAAAAACAACATGCTTAAATCACTACTTGTCCGACTCATCGGTATTACTGAAGCTTTGGCCTTCAAAAAGAAAGGCCAGATCTTTGTGTGCAGAAGAAGTTTGTTCAACAACACCCTTCATATAACTTCTAAAATGTTTTCTTAAGTTAATTATCACCTTGTTTGGTAATGTTTTGAAGTCTCACCAATCTTATCATTTCTACACCCCTTCCAGATATACCCATTTTATGAACTGTTTTGCTAAGTATACAACCAGTTATCTATCCCCTAATTTTATGTTATATATGCGATTGTACACCTTAACGGAGAGACTCGTCGCCGAAACATTTGTTTTGGTTTTCTACTTTTCTAGGTCGTATGTGCAAAGTAAACGATACAAATGAAGTCTGATGTTAAGAAGAATTGAAGTGCCTAGGTCTTCCAGTGGTTTTGGGTTTCGTCTACGAAATGAATACCCATGTTACATAGATCATATTTTGAGTGGGTCTTCCGCAGAAAAGTCAGGCGTCCGCATAGGTGACCGACTGCTCAAAGTTAATGGTGAAGATGTAACTAATATGACGCATGAAAATGTAGCTTCCTTGATATGGAAGAGTCACAGAAGTCTTATTATTGAGGTTTGTTTTCTAATTTTGTGAAATGACTAGATAGGTTCTTTCTTCAGATCTTGAAAATAATACATATATTCCAAGCACTCCGGGACCTAGTTCCCCCGATAGATGTCTTATCAGTGGAATAAGACAGAAAGCTTCCAGTTTTGGTCGAAATTCTGCTGTTTTTATATACGCAGGCTGTGTGAAAGTGCCTATGGATTTCAGGCTGTGCGCGAAAGATCTATCAATCTTGAGAAAGAAAGCCAACTCAGTTGTAAATAAAATAAATGCAAGTGCAAGGTCTTTGTGCTTAGTCAGCGTCTCACGTAGCGTTTTACGGGTTCGCTTGTACGAAGGATACGTCGCAGAATATCCGGCTAGCTGTTTGTACGTCGCTGGTCTTGTTGACTTCGATGAAAAGTTCGTCTACATAGTTACACGAAGCATATTAAAACATAACAGTGACCCAATAATGGAAACTCCTGAGTCACAGAGTAAGTATGATGCCATGAGACACATCTGCGTCACATTTTCATTAGTATTTTCCTTTTTGTGGGTCTGGAGGTGTGCCCAGTAGTATATACCAAAGTTTTGCTAGTTTAGTAACTACCTTGAATGTGAGATCCGATTACTTGCAAAACTGGAAGAATTGTGTTTCACTTGATTTTTTTGTGAAATTTTGCGGCTTTGCGTCCGTTAACTAAAGATTTAATCGAGACAGAAATTGAGTATCGCTTTAATTGGTTGTCGGTACATATTTTCTTTTATACGGTAATTATTTGACTCACTATGTAAAGCGACAGAAATTCGAGCCTACAGTTCACAGATAAGCTTTGATGCTGTGTTACTCTTAAAAAAACCTATCGCAGTTGAAATAATCCTGTCTTGGGTCTTCACTGAATTGTATGGTCATGACTGGTTTTAAGTCAATGAGACTAGCTAGTCTCATTCTTAACTTTAGGGTTGGTCATACAGGTATAACTTGTGAGTGGTATTGAAGTATATTCATATGCTTTAAAGGTCTCAATGATTTGTGGTTAGAAATCATTCAAATACAGAGTATACTTGCTTAACATCTAAATTGATAGTTACAATCATAGTAATTGCTGACTATATTAAATCCCTCTTCTGAACGAATGAGTATGTTTTTAAAAGTGTCCAAACGCATTTTAGAATCTGATCGATTGACAGTATACATAATGTAGTCTTAATCTAACGCGGCAATTCTGTAAAAGTGCAAAACAATTAATGTACTTGACTTGTTTGTACTTTCCAGTTGCACGGAAAATTTACATTAAAGCGTCAAAATAATGTAAACAATATACGGAATCTAATATCTGCCCATTGGATGTCATCGGAATTCTCATTTTAGCTCTGCATCCCATCGTACACAAACTATGGTTAACGTGCGCTTGTCATATGTTACACGTGAAATTCCGTCGTCTATGTGTGTCGCTAATAAGAAGCGTAAAATACAACATTGAATGATGCTATGTCTGTCACTTGATAAATACTGAGTGCAGTTAATAGTAATTTGATAGATATTAATTATTTCTTAGTGCTTACCAGAGCACTAATTTCTTCCAGACTTATGTTCGAAATCGGTCAAAAGGTAAAGTAGTATGATGAAGTAATCTGTACTGAAATGATCTTATAAGTAATAGAAAGGCTGTTTGCTTTCTTAAAATCTGGAGATTACATGTCATATTAGATTTTATACTACTTAGGGTTAACTACGGTACTAAATATTATATCGGATATTAAATCATTTGATATCATTGACAATGTTAGCTCCAGACTATAAAATAATTTCTCTTGTCATGTGCATCAACTGAAGTGTTGTGAGAGTACGAAGGACTCAAACTGAACAGACAGGTATTTTGACATCATTCTACCTAGTTGTAGTTGCGAATATTAGGGTTTCTTCTCAGTTCACTTCAATTTCTTCCTATGCTACTAATACAGACAGTGTTTCCTCTTCAAACGAAATTCGAAGCACTACATTCTATTCTTGTGAGCTACTTAATGGGAATCTGTAAGATATTAAATATAAGTATCGCTAACCTCAGTTAGGATACTCAGAATTGAGTGTAACCAAAAAGATAAATGTTTTCTTGATTTCAAAAAATATTTAAAATCATATTACTCATTTTTTTATCTCCCACGGTCATGTGCATATTTTCGTTGATTGCCATATATTTCAGTCTTTGTAATATCTTGTATTGTTGTAAGATGTGAAGCACTCCTGGGCTAAGTTTTGAAACCTTGACTCACTTATTGAAAGTTGGCTGTGTAATCTAGTATGACAGTGGCATGTGTCGCACATTTGTCTACCACACTAGATTATTACTTCTTGCTGTCAGTTACAACCTGTCGTTTGTAATCAAACTACAAACACTGAATAAATGGATATAAGTAAATGTCACAGTTACTTGTTAGACGGTCCTGCAGTACGCACCCATGACCCCACCAGGGATAGAACCCAGGATCGTCATGTTACAAGACGAGCTCGTAGACCATGGCTACGTGTAAGGACTTACAGAAAGTTGTCACCTGAAGTGGTGATAATCAACGGTGTCTGTCAGGGATGCCTACTCTTCCCATTTTTGTTTAATGTCTTCAGAGATGTACCAATGAAAGTGACCCTAATTGACCTTAGGGATTGCCTTGTTGACTTCAAGTATACGAATGATATTGCCATCCTAGGTGAAGACGCTGACAAAATGCAGTGTTATGAACACCTTGAGCAGAGATCTTCGAATGTTTGGCATGTGATTTACTCCTGTCAAATATAAGGTGTTGCTGCAAGTCCGAACTATACCTACTCCTAGATTATAAATAGAGAGTGAAGAAGTAGATCGTGCTGACCACGCCACATATTTAGAAAGTTGCATCAGCTGCAATGGACTGGTTGCTGATGGAATCTCAACACGGATACGGAAGGATCATGTGCTGTTTGCCAACTTAATTTATCTCTGGCGTAGACATGATATCTGACTACCGATCAAAGGGCGTGTGTATTGAACAGCACTTCACTCTGTCCTCCTTCATGATCGTGAGACTTGGTTATTGAAAGTAGGAGATAAGGAAAGGCTAGCTGACTTTGATCACAGATGTTTTCATCTTATATCCTGTGTTAATTGGTATAATAGGGTGAGTAATATTGAGGGTAGGCGTAGAGCGTTAGGTAAGTAGGGTAAGTCAATCGGTTAGGCTGTGAAGCTACATTGACTGAGATGGCTAGGACATAAGTTACATATGCCTGGTCGTCGCCTTCCTCGATAGACACTGTTAGCTGACATAGGATCAGGTTGGAAAAGGGCCAGACGCGTTCACTTTCTGTGATCCCCTGTATCAGCTTTTCTATGCTGCTATCCTTTCCCCCCACATTTCTCACCATTATGGTTCTTTTGAGCCTCTTTTTCTCATTTTTTGTTTAAACTGTTTCACTTCTGTGCTAAGCTGTATGTTAAAACTCAGTCAGTCATGGTTACTTCATTTCCTTTTTTAGCATCAAGTATAAAACCATACTGTCTTTATATTTGCTTTTATGTTCAGTGACAAATAGATTGATTGTTTATAACATAATTCATTCAATTACCTTCTTCTAAGGCGAAACAAATAACATCAAGTCAATGAACTGCCATGTTTTCAGAACCCTGCCATCAAAGTTTTTGGCTCACTCTGGCCACAGTACAATTGCAGAGACGTTTGGAATACACTGTTCAAATGATATCTTGACTGGTGAGTGCTGTAATTTTCCGTCGAGCACCACTGGCATTTTGTCGTATCTTTACAATTTATTGGGAAAATCGGGTTTACAGAACATAATAAACAGCGGGGACCGTCGAAATTCGTGTGTGCAAACAGAGCAAAGTATTGATTTAAATTGTGTTCCAGCTAGTACTACAGCAACGCATTTTGGGGTAAGCTTTGATTCACTAGCTACAGATTTTTGGAATTCGGATTATGTTTACCAAACCAATGTTTCTCAATGTACCCCTAGTAGCTCAGCATCATATATACGCTTTTCGGTAAACCACACTTCCTTGCATTTTAATCAGATAAACTTTTTGGGCTGTTATTTGCGCATTTGACAACCCATGAGTAATCACTTAGAAGTTGAGTAGTTAGTTAGAAAAGCTTTTATCTGAATACATTTATTTTTGGTGCAAACGGTCTGTGACGATTCAGAGTAATGCACGAACTTTCCCACTTGTATAAATGTGCCTTATCGACTTAGGTACTCAACTTTAGGCCAATGGGTGACGAGCTTGAGTTTGCTTCTATCTACTTCAGTCCGGGCAACTAATTAGTATCCCCAGTCGTTATACAGTAAATATGGGTTGTGGCTTGTTCCGCGTAGCTGAATTGTAATTCGACTTCACACTGTTAGCTTAATTATCAGTAAGTTTATAAACTTCTGATTTGTTAGTTCAGAATATATTACTACTGTGCAGATATCAAGAATTCTGAAACTAGTACCACTAGGTGTATACTTTCAGATTTATCTGATGGTATACTTTGTATGACAGTTGTTTGATTGTCAGCAGGATTTTTAACTCCTTGGTGTTTGCACACTGAAAAATTTCTACATTCAACAACAGAAATAGTGCTGAATTTTCTTGACAAATGGGAAAAAGCAACTGGGATGGTATAAAATTACATCTTAGTGATGCGGACAGGTTACAAAACACCTTAAAGCTTTGTTGGAAGCACTGTGACAGTATTTAATATGAGGAAGTTAAATACATTTCCAGGGTTGCAGATTTTTGTAGACACAGATGAAATGAAAACGTATCATGGGTGCTGAATTATATCCCACAGTGAATTTAAATGGATGGCCGCAGTATTTCGAGTTTAATAAACGATCGATCCTAATACTGCTGGTTTAATGTTACAGTCGTATATAGAAACTTAAATGTGTTTACTAACTTTCATATGGCTTTTTACTCCCTAGTGACAATTATAGCGCGTACTATGGTTCTTGTTAAATGTAGATTTTCAGAAGAGGTCCAGCCTTATATTAGTTCATATACCTAAAGTGAAGTAACATTTGTAACTGAAAGCCAACAAATAAATTACTACCGGGTCTTGAAAAAAGTTTGAGGTTAATTCATACCAAAGTACTTCATTCACGAGTTCCGACAAGTATAGGCTCAATATCTCTACCTGACTTGCTCTTTAGTTGTACTGAACAAACTCTTTGAATTGTTCCACTTATAGGTACAGGGTTCGTTTTATTTCCAGATATTGATTTATCTCAGTGTACCAACAAACGAATCTACCAGTCTAGATTTCCATTCTAGGATTTTGTTTAGTTTTGATAATCGCAAACTTGTTGAATGACCATTTGATATCTCAATCAGTTCCCCTCTTTTCTAACAATTAATTAGTCGTTTGTTGTTTTATATGTGTTCATATTTATAGCCTAAACGGTGCAGAAAATCTCTCCCTGATCCAATAAATGTGAGCATATTCTCAAAATTCCTAAAGCCTAAAACACCATGTCGAAATTCAAGAGTTATGAATCCAAAGAATTCCGAAATAGTAAGTGTGCGTTTCTTAAAATAATATAGTTAGATTGAAGTGCAATAATCATATTTAACACTAGGTTTTTACATACAACTTTAAAATTGTCCTTGCATGTCTAACAGGGTTTTGCAAACTATCGTGTGCAGTTTAGTGGAATTATCTAAAAGTAAAAGTCAATCAAAACTTATATTGTTTGGCTGTGTTATACTCCGTAAATTAGTCACTTGAGTTTTATTTTATTCCTTTACGTTCCCACTGGAACATAGGGCTTTGAAGTTTCGGTAGCAGTGGTGTTTATTTTTACGGGATGGCGTTGCTTGCCTCATGTCCAACCTTCCCTCCTTACCAGTTGTTTTACTGGCTTAGCGAGGTAAAGGAGTGCATCGGTTGGGGATCGAACCCCGGACCACATGAGGCGTGGTTGGCGATCATTCTACCGCTGTGCCACCGGCGCACCACCTAAATTTTAGACAGTTGATATTCACACTGAAAGTTGAGATTAGCTTGCATTTCTTGATTCAGCTTAGAATACCTGCCAATAAATCCGTAGAATAACACCACTTCTTAGTTTGGCTGTATTTTCCTTCCTACGTAATCCTACTTCAACCAAGATGGCTATAAACAAATAGGGCTTTTGTGCTTTTTTAAGTTAGCAATTCTTTAATGAAATTACTGTAGTCCCTATATAAATGTCGTCGCAGTGTGTATACTTTAATAAAGTTAGTTGTTTATGCAACCTATTATGTAATGTCTGAGTTTGAAAACTAGTTTTGTCGGTCAGTAGCTATTTCATAAATATTTACGATTTTCCTTCCTCATTATAAATTGTTTGATAAAAGGTGTTGTAATAATTTGTCTCCACTATATTGATAATCCTGATATATAGATGCTGTCATGACGTGGTGGTCGCGCTTGCGTACCACAATGACCTGACGAGCCACACTGGCTGGAACTAGTGTTCCTGCAGGTTGTTTGAATAGCGGTTAGACCAAAGGTAGTTACCATTATATTGTAAATCGTTTATACTATGTTGGGGGTCTGTGAGAGAAGTTGTACTGCTGATGGATAGGAATGTAGCAGCAGTAAGGCATTCCCTTCAGATGATTAACAAGTCAGCTATAGTACTTCCCAGCTCTGGGGATGGAGGTTAGGGAGTGTCCAGACCGAAAATTGTACATTCCGATTTTGCGGCGGCCCGTAGCGGGCGGTAAGATCTGAATAAGGATACAACTTCGACTGTGACCTGCCTCAAGCGGTTGTCCATGGACTCTGAAGTAACGCAACACCAATACTCTTTCCAAGAAAATGACATGTCATCCAGATTAAATAGTTAGAATGGTTTGTCAGTTTTTTAACACACCTTTCTCCTACTAATCATCAATAGTTTTATATTGTTTCGAAGATGTAAAACGTTTCTGTTCTCACCATTCCGCTTAGGTAAAAACAGATACTGATGAACAGCCTTCAAAAATTGGTTGTTTTAGTTCAACAGTTGAAGATATTGAAAATGTTGATCCATCTAGAGTCGTAGATTCTTCTCCCTGCTCCTCTTCAAATCCAGCATTTTGGGCAGAAGATTTCGATAATCTTTTGAATGATCCGATTGGTCGTAATGAGTTTAGAGTAAGTTTTTGTTCAGTACACTTTTGAAAAAGTAACATTTTGTGATATCCATTATAATGTATTATACACAATGGATGTAAATATTTTTCGCCATAATTGACACTTTACAAAAGAATATTTTTGCATCGAAAATTCATTTTCTACAAGTTATATGCTATTTTGATAAAACGTAAACAAGTACAGTAAATACAACTATTTGTCTATGGGAGCAGTATGTTCTTCCCAATCGAGGTGGTTACTCTTACTTTATAAGTGGCTACTTGTACTAGCTGACTCTTATTCAGTTGTTTGCCTGAAGATGTGGCTTATGGGCTTAGGTATTATATTTTCGTGTCATAAGCCATGACTTCAAACCACTATGCTTTAAATTCACTCTGAGCAACTTGGGTTTTGTCGTGGAAGCTTGCAAATCAAGTTTGATTAACAACAATATGTCACTGTATGATGGTTCTTTAAATAGCACTGAGTTAAAATTTTTATATATTTTTTGACACATTTTATTTCAGTAAGTTTATCTTAGAAAAAACGAACAGTACTACTGAGGAATAATTCTCACTGATTAATGAAAATCTCACTACATAGATTATCCACCACTGAACTTTAGACGATATCATAAAACGTGGCCTTTTGATATATCAGATAGTTTCTTTTGGATAGCAGCTACCTACAAAACACTGCCGACTTTCAAGAAATATACTGACTTCCTGGTTAAAATTATCAGTATGGAGTTCTTATGCATGTAACAACGTAATTCATTGTCTTCATCCTCCAATCAGTATAGACAGGTCATCATACCTTTGAGAGAAGTACAGACTATATTTATAAATTAATAAGAAAATAATAATTGAGACTATGCTACTGATTTTTAAGAAAATAAGCCTAAAGTTCACTACAAATGAAATTATTTTAGAACATTATTTAAGAATTTCCAGAAGTTGTTAAGAAATCTAAACACAACATGATAAAAAAAGTCCTAACTTCTCACCATTTCGGTTACCTGTGGTTTCATCATACCTGTAAATCCATTTGTGTCATCATTTAGTCTATTGTTAGTATTATTGTTCTTCCGCTAAATTAGTTTGACTTATTGTTAGCTAGATAAAACAGTCATCAACAGATTAGCGGATAATAAGTGATATTTATAAGATACTATTTCACTGCTTGTTGGCTGACCCAAATTAAATCGAATGCCATTTGAAAATTGTGTACTGTGTGCTGATGTAAATTCTTCAGCGTTGCCGTCTGAAACCCCACAATATTCAGGTCAAACTATGTGAGAGAAAATGACAAAAATTAACAAGACGCTTTATACTACTAGTTTATATTAGTAGTTAGAAACTATTCACGTCAAATAATAGCGCTTGCTGATTGGAAGCGATAAGAACACTGGACAACTACTTAGCTCATTCCCACCGAAACTCATCTGTGGACATATCGGTTAGATAGAGATCAGAAAGCCAGACTGATGCCGAGTGCTTAGATCACTTCGGCCAGACTAACAAGTAACACCGTTTGACGTCAGTTGTTCTCAACTACTCCTATCAATCAATGGTGTGCTTTGAGGTGATTTATATCCAAATAACAGAATTGTGTTTTATCGACTTAGTTGTCATTCACACATTTTACTATCCAGTTCCATGACTGCCTCCATATTTTACCAAGTTTGTGTTTATTAATAAAATAAAAAGTTCCATGACTGTAACGACTGAATGACTGATGGTCAACTGGTCAAGCCTAATCACCCTTTCTATGATTTAATCGCTTTTATCAGTGTTTTACATGACATCTGCTAGCATGAATTATTGTGTTAAAATGTGGAATAGATATTGATCATGATACAGAAGTTGACGGTTGATCTGTCTGGATACAACATAGAACTTGGCACCAAAGTGCAGCAGTTCGAGTTGCCACGTTCCAAATAGCACACAAAGGTAGACAAGAAGATGAGTGAAGAGAATCAATAGTTTTGACAGGTATAAGAGTGAAACAGAATGAGTAATGCTAGAAAATAAGGCTGAATACATCTGCGCCATTGACAACGATTTTGAGCCATGTCACCTATTGTCTCCAGCCATTGATTCTTAGAGTCCCGAGGGCGGGCCCCAACCCGGAAGTCTGCATCTCCCTACCTGACTTAGTTTAACTGTCAGGGATTTCATGGATTGATGCCATGTTTTTGTTTGGCCACCACTTACTCTTTTCCAACCTGCACCTATTTCAGCTAGTAATACCCGTCGGGGAAGACGATGGTTAGGCATGTGCAGCACGTGACCTAGCCATCTCAATCTATGTAGCTTTATAGCCTCTTCGATTGATTTCCCCCTCCTTGCCCAACACTCTACGCCTAACGTCAGCATTACTTACCTTATTATACCACCTAACGTGAGAAAGAGATCGTAGACATCTATGATCAAAAACAGTCAACCTTTTCATGTCTTTAACTCATATTAGCCATGTTCCAGAGCCATAGAGAAGGACGGAGCGAACTGCTGAGCAGTACACACGCCCCTTGGTTGATAGCCAAATGTCACGCCTACGCCAGAGATGGTGTAAGTTAGCGAAAGCAGTTCGAGCTTTTTGGATCCGTGCTGAGATTTCGTCACCAATCAATCCGTTGGTGCTGATACAACTTCCTAAATAGGTGAAGTGGTCAATATGTTCTATCGCTTCACTCCCTATCACTAAGTTAGGGGTAGACGTAGTCCAGTCTTGTAGCAACATCTTAAATCTTACAGGGGCGAATCGCATGCCAAACATACGAAGATTGCTGCTCAAGGTGTTCAGAAGACTCTGCATTTTGTCAGCATCCTCCCCTAACAGGAAGGCGCTCTAGAAAACGAACAGATGAATAAAAACTGTCAACGAACTTAGCCCTAAATTCCTATTGTAACGAATACGCTCTATACCGATAATTACTATGTATCTTTCTCGACTTTAACTCCAAAGCACTAGTATTCGTTGAAGGAAGCTATATTGTTTGGCAATTAAAGATTAGTACAACAGTTGATGGATTTTATGTAGTCATGAGATGTAGAGAAGTAACCAACGGATACAAATAAACGTTTTTTGCAAGTTCTGTTGAATTCATTTTTTTACTGAATTTAATTTTTTCGCCGTTTATTTAGATATCGATAAATATTGTGTACTTTTAACTTGTTCTAGTAATATTATATTCAAGAAACAAGTTTTTTCCCCTCCAAATTTCATCTTATTGTTATTGTTGTTTCCCTCTAGAAATTTCTGACTACAGAGTACAGCAGCGAAAATCTTGAATTTTTGATGTCTGTTCGCAACTGGCGTGATTCTTTTGAGATAGGAAATGTAAGCAGAATTTCATCAACTCATCACTTTTTGTTATAAATATTTGCAAGTAGCGGTACCTGGTGGTTCAGCATAGGTTATATTTGTTTTCTTTTTTAGTTGTCTTTCTTTGTTCTGTATTCTTATGTCAGATGTTTTTCATTATTATAAACGCTTTTGTAGTTTCCAATGAATTCAAAACAGAATGATATTGCGTTTACTGACGTTTCGCTATTCAATGCTAATGTCTTATTGGAGTATTCTTAAACCAGAATTTACAAAATCTCAGCTTATATATAACGACTTTATCATTGTACATCAGCATGAGGTAATTTTTGTCTGAATAGAAGTGATGGACTAAAACAGAATTTGACCTGTTTACAACACACACACCCACCCTCCCCCATGAAATGACAAAATCAACACGAATGTGATAAGCAATTTCGCTATGCTGCTTTTATAATTTTATACGCCTATCAAATCCAACAATTTACACTTGGTTTTCTTGTCTTTACCGATTGGCCAACTTGACAACGTTAAAATTACCCCATGCTGATGAAAGATGATTAAGTTGTTATGTATATAAACTGAGATTTTGTAAATTCTAGTCTAATAATATTTTGGTAAAGCTATTTGCAGCATTAAATAGCAAAACGTCAGTGAAAACTATATCGTTTTGTTTTTCATTCATTGGAAAATGCAAAACAACCTTTATTATGATGAATATCATATACCCAATGCCCAATTTTTTTTTCCAAGCTGTTAAATGTGAACTTGGTTTGTATATAGACAAATAAAATGCTTTTCACTATTATTTTTAACAAAATGTCCCATTATGCATCTTCATTTAATGTATATTTTATTACTAGTTCCTTATATCTTCATTTTCTTCTCGTATTCTATGGGAACTCCACGGCTAAATTTATTTTTCGATTCAGCATTAATTACTTGTATGGTTTTTTAAATGGCATTCATAATTTAAAAAGAAGACATCTGTTGAACGAAGAAATACCAGGCCATAACACACCTATCTGTCAGTTGTAGCTAGATTTAACCAGTTTGTTTTCAATGAGTGGATTAAAATCATGCCCTACCTATGAAATTTAAGCAACCAAATGTTCCTATCTGTCATAACTCAATAAGTGTATGCATTCTCCTAGACTTACACCAGTAATTAGGTTTAAAAGGTTTGATTTCACTGGTGATTTCCGTATTTTGTCATCAATAAAATCTCTACATACAGTGGAGTATTTCCATGAATATTACTCAAATTCTTTTCGTAGATGCCACAATTTCACTTGACAAAACAGTTCGTCAAATTTAAATGTTTAAAAAGAAGAATTGTAACCTGAGTAAGATATATAGCGTCAGTCTATGAAATCAGTACATGATGGTCTGATTTTATTCACGTCACTCCCAGAATTTATAATTACTGGCTGTAGATGAAGTAACGCAAAATCGATCTCGTACGTTCATAGGTTATCGTGCATAGGTTATAATTGTTACAAATTATTTTCTTAAGTCCCTTCATCTTGCCACACTTTACAACCATTGACTCTAGAATTCTAAATTCTTTATATGTCCTTTTACTATCTTCTACCATATTTATAAGTGCGTCGGTGGCACAGCGGTAGAATGCTCGCCAACCACGCCACACGTGGTTCGGAGTTTGATCCCCGACCGACTCACTCCTTTACCTCGCTAAGCCAGTAATACGGTTGGTAAAGAGGGAAGGTTGGACATGAAGCAAGCAACCCCATCCCGTAAAAATAAGTATCACTGCTATGGAATCTTCAAAGCTCTAACTTGATGCCCTATGTTCCATTGGGAACGTAATTGAATTCAGTTCCTTTGAAGGTCACTTGTCGGCAGACATTTCTACCAATAGAAAAGTGTAAATAGTAATCACATATTTGTATTGACTAATGTCATATTGTCATATATATGCATATTTGTGCGTGTGTGTGAGTGTGTGTTACGTGGAAAACACGTCAAAACACGATAATATTTCATAATATGGTCACAATATTGGGTTTGAATTTGTTTTTCTCCCTCATCTGTCTTGCTTCATTAGATATAAGTATAAAACTTTGGTACTGTGATAGAGTATAACTCCATTATAGATAAGATTTTATTTTGATAAATCACACAGTGTGTTATACAGTAATATTAACTGATGACGTTTTGAGCACAAATTATTGCTGATATTGTGTGAGTGACTTGATATGATTATGAGCAATAATTTGTGCTCAAAACGTCATCAGTTAATATTACTGTATAACACACTGTGTGATTTATCAAAATAATATCTTATCTATAATGGAGTTGCCTCATTAGAGTCTACCATATAGGTGATAAGTCTATCCCTTCTCACTTATTTTACTGTATTCCATGTGGTTAAAATATGCAAAGCTTCACAGGTCGACCTTTCTTTATGGTGAATGAAAGCCTCTTCCTTAAACACGCTGGGATTATTTAAAATAATTTATAATGATTCAATCTGACTCGGCGCTCAAATTATTTCAAGAAATTCGTAATATCTACGGTCTGAAATCCTATAACTAGTTCTTCCATGTTCTTGTTATTTAAAAAGTCATTCTTCTCTTGTTGTTTCCTTTCTCCTTCTATATTTCTTGAAGGTACAAGAAAGTGCCCGTGATATATTTAACCGATTTTTAACTCCTGCCGCTCCTCAAGCTGTAAATATAGATCATTCGGCTTTAAAATCTGCATCATCGTGTTTATCAAATCCTCATATAAACATGTTTTTAGAGGCTGAAAATCAGGTAACTAAATTTGCTTAACATTGAGTGATACCACTTTTCTTTTATCAAGTGATTCTTATTTTTCAATTTGCGATACTCTGCATGTCGTGTATGCAGATGGTCGTAGACGTATATTTACAAGTTACCTGTATGCCGTTCATGGGCTGTCTGTCCAGCTCTTCGTCTCATTTGGTTACACTTCATGTGATAACAGTTGCTCGAACATGGATTCAGTGTGATGAAATTGTTAATGAGCCACCATATTTACTATGTGATAACGTATAATGCTTCTTGCTTTTGAACAGTATGAAGTTGAAGTAATGTTCCAGTTGATGGCACAGATCGTAAGTCATGTAAGCAGTTTGGCATAAGCATAAGACCATAATATTAGGTTGTTAATTAACTGCGAAACTAGTCATTTTTATGTATTTTTTTACATTTGAGTCAAGTTACTAATGAGTACAAGTTGGCGTAATGTGACAGATAATTAAGCACTAGCTAATGAGACATCGATATGAACTATGGTTAGCTTTCATCGTTATTCCGATAGTGTATACCTTTCCGTTTGCTTCGAATTTGTAATTAAAAAGCTCTGGAGCTTCTGTCGTGTACTGTGACAAAATGTGATGCCCTAGGTAATCACTGCCAGTTAAATAATCGCGTGAAGTATATTCTTCAAGTTTTACTCAGGTAATATGCTATTATATATTGAATGATAGGTACGGTGTGGCATGTGCTACTGATAAGTGTTATCAGTAGTATATAAAGAGACGTTCGTCGGCATAAAAATATCAAATAGCGGACAGATAGATTTGATGTCAAAGAGAAAAAATGAACCATTGTTTTGGCAAAACATGAGAGACACGAAAAGAAGACAACATAATACGAAGGGCAGAAGTAGCACAACACGGAAAATCTGTGCAAATGATGGTTTGCAGATAAAGTGTAAATAACTTCGCTGTATACAGGTACCGAATTCCAAATGAATATTCCATTATCAAGTATTTTGTCGTTTGGCGTTACAATGGTATAGCTAACATAGAAACTAAAATGAATCCTAAGATTTAGTCTCTGTAGTGACCATGCGATTAAAATATGCCCCGACTGTATGGATTGCCGAAAGCACGCAACAAAAACACACCTCTTCATTCCATTGTTGACATGACGAGTTCTCCTTATAGTCGCATTGCCGAACGGTTAATAAACATGCTAGAGCCAGTCAGTCTCCTGTCACTCACTCTGAAGTTCTTTTGACTTTGTTAATTATATTGAAAAAGTCAACAGTTTTAGTAAAATCATGTTCTCACTAGATTTGGTCTCATTATTTACAGATTTTCAACTATCTGTATCAATATGCTACACATGTGGACATTTCGATTCAAAAGGATTTAACATTATTGGAATAACTACTTATTATTTGAACGAATCCCTGTTGAAATGCACCCTAAATGTCTTAATCTCTTTCAGTGATGAAATAAACAAAAGAGTAGGTTAGCTATGGACTTCTCCATGTGGAAACTCGAAAACATATATTTAGAGACAATGATCAACATCTTTGAACTTTACGAAGAGATACCTGGATTATACTTTTATCATCTCCAATAATAAGGAGAATTCGGAAGATATTCTGGATTTTTCCAACACCTCTTACCCTATGATCCACTTCACAGTAAAGAAGGAGTTTGATTTAAACATATTCTCCCAAAATGTCCAACTTACAAGATGTGATAATTGAACACTGAAAACATCCACTTACAGAAAGCCGACATTGAACAGAAAACTTAGGAACTTCTGCAGTTGAGTGCCTTTACATACAAAGCAGAACTTTATCTATTCAGTGAGCTGCAGATTTCGCAGCCCTGACGTCTTGGAGGAGGATCTGAGCGCTCTAAAGATAGTACTCATTGAAAGTGGCGTATCTGAACACTTCATCACAAAATCCAAAAAGTTTTCATCATCAAATATATATGCGTATAGAAGAGTGCCAGGGAAGACAAAAGAAAATATTATGAAGCTATGGCAAGTGAAGCAGAACAAGCTGCAGGCAAAGGAGACCTCGCAACACTCTACCAAACAACTAGGTACCTATCGGGGAAAAGTTCAACACAAATTAAGCCAGTGAAGGATGACAATGGAAAGCCAATCACCAAAGAGGTGGAGCAAAGGAAACACTGGGCTGAACACTTCAAAAGACTTCTAAATCGACCGCCACCTACAACGCACCCAATAATACCAACAACGGAAGCAGAACTACCAGTGAACATCAACCCCCCGACGAGAACAGAAGTCCTGAAGGCAATCAAGATGCTAAAAGCTGAAAAAGCAGCAGGACCAGATGGAATCCCAGCAGAAGCATTGAAAATGAACCCAGGCACATCAGCGGACTTGATGACACCACTACTGGAGAAGGAGTGGAAGGAGGGCAAAGTACCTGCGGACTGGAAGAAAGGCTACTTATTCAAACTACCAAAGAAAGGAGACCTAAGTCAATGCAAGAACTGGCGCGGAATTATGCTCCTGTCCATCCCAAGCAAAATACTAAGCCGCATCATCCTGGAGAGAATCAAACATGCCCTGGATGAAAAACTTCGACCGGAACAGGCTGGATTCAGGAGAAACAAGTCATGCATTGATCAGATCGCCATATTACGGATCATCATTGAACAAAGCTTGGAATGGCAGTCACCTCTCTATCTCAACTTCGTCGACTTTGAAAAGGCCTTCGACAGTGTCGATCGAGAGGTGATTTGGCAACTAATTCGCTACTACGGGGTGCCACCGACAATTATACATCTCATCCAACAGTTGTACGACAATGCTGCATGCCAAGTAATCCACAACGGGAAACTCACGGAATCCTTCAAAGTAAAGATGGGAGTAAGACAAGCTGGCTAACTACTATCTCCTATGATTTTCCTGATTGCGGTAGACTGGATAATGTCACAGACAGCGGGCAGCGAGGAAACAGGCATAAAATGGACCCACACAAAAAACTTGGAGGATCTGGACTTCGCCGATGATGTATATCTGATTTCCCACAAACTGGAAGTTATGCAAGTGAAAGGCAACAAGTTGGAAGAAGAAGCATTCAGAGAAGATAAGACTTCAGGTGAACATAGAGAAAACAGAGGTGATGAAGATTCCTGGCCAACAGCAACAGCAACAGACAACAATCAGCATAAATGAGAGGAATCTGAAAGAAACAACCTCCTTTACCTACCTACCTGGGAAGCATCGTTTCAACTACAGGCGGAACTGACGAGGATATCAAAGCAAGGATCGGGAAAGCAAGACAAGCTTTCACTACTCTCAAGTCTGTATGGAGGTCAACAGCACTCAGCATCAAAAATAAGATCCGGATTTTCAACTTCGATGTGAAGTCACTGCTATTATACGGATCAGAGACTTGGCCACGCGTCATAAAGAGCACCTCAAACAAACTACAGACCCTCATTAACAGTTGTCTTCGCTCAATACTCAAGATCAGATGGCCGACCAGAAAACACCAGCAACAAGGAGGGATCTCTGGGAGCGAACCAACCAACAAATAAGCAGGAAGAAATGTAGGTGGATTGGCCATACTCTGGGAAAACCATCAAGTGAGTGACGTCACACGCCAGGCTGTCGAGTGGAACCCGAAAGGGAAGCGGTGAGTTGCTCGTCAGTGCGAGCGTGACATGGAGAAAGAGGTCATGTGAAGAGGAGATGAAAGCATGTGGACAGACGTGGAACCAGGTGAAAATGTTGGTGGAGAACCGAATGCAATGGAGACGTGCGGCTGAGGCCATATGTTCCTCTAGGAACTAAACGAAGCAATAATAATAATCAGATGCCTTGTTCTGTTCCTAATAGATAGTACAGTGACATATTTCACGCGAATTAATCCGTTTCCGTACTAGAGTAAGGAAACCGCACTAATCGTAATATAATGATATATATATATATATATATATATATATTATATTATTGTTGTACTGTTTTTATCTTTCTACTTATTCATTTGTTTGTTCGTCTTTACTGTTTCAAAATTGTTTACTTAGGTGTATATGCTAATGAAAACAGATTCATATCCACGCTATCTGGAGTCTTCAAGTTATCTAAATTACTTAAATGAATTCAATGTAAATAAATCCTCGAAAAAATTATCATCATTTAAAAAAACTCATTTATTTCGAAGTAAATCAAAACCTTTTAGTCAAAAACCATTAACACCATCAGCTTATAGTAGTCAGATTAATGATTCCGAAAGTACACGATTAACACGGAGTTTAACAATAAATCAAACTGATATGGTCAATAGCAACAGACGTGTTCTTAGGTCTGACAACGGCGACGAAAAACATGTTACCTTTGAGAGTAAAGACAAATTAATCAATGAACACAGTGCTAAGGGTATTAAATCGAATCCAGGCGATTGAAAAGTAAGTTTTAATTGAACGTTGAATACATTTTTTCGTTGTCATAGAAAATTCTTATATACAAACTCTTGGGTTGTTTTACTTCATTTTTCTTTATGTATCGAAGGTCCTAAACATTGTTCACCCATCAGATAAGTTTATACTACGCATTATCATATTCATTTCTGAGTATCTAGATCTTGCAGACGTCTCCTAGCCATCTTAAGTACCCATGTCGCGCATTCCCAACCACTGTCTTCCTCAGTGACGTATGCGACCTGACATAGGATTGGGTCGGAGGAGAGCTAGGGTTGGTCAAACTAGAACCTAGCATCAGTTAATGAGGTCTTTGACGGTTGAATTGAGTCGAGCAGAGAAATGTAGACTGCCTGCTTGGGGGCATCGGGATTCTAAGAACCAATGGCTGGAAACTGTTGGTAATATGGCTCAAAATCTTTCTCAGTGGCTCAGATGCATTCACTCTTTGTCATCTTTTGTATCCATTAAACCGTCATATTTTTCCAATGTTACTATTCTTTTTCCCTCATATTTCTGCGTATTACAGTTTTTTGAATCTCTTTTTCTGCCTTTGTGTGCTATATGGAGTGCTGCAACAACTTAAACTGGTTCACTTCTGTGCTAAGTTGTAATGTTGAAACTCAGTCAGTCAACACCTAGATTTTTGATTACTAATCAAAATTTAGCGGATATTTTGTATCGGTTTATTCGTAAATACGAATTTTTATAGATAGTGAAGATGTATTCATGAATTCCGCTCATTTGAAATTGACTCAAACAAGTTAGATGTCAAGGTAGCCTGTAAAGCTGTAGACCTAATTAGAATATATAACTTGTTAGTAAAGTTTTAGTCACATTCACGGCAGTATATTGTGTTGTAACTGTGCTTGGTGTTGTTGTTATCTCCCACCTTTTATTATTATTTTTTATCAAGGGAGCAAAAGTTAACTCTGAAAACCGGTTTTCCTATTTCTTCCACGGTTTTAAGTGTTGAACTCCGTATTTTCTGCGAGTAGCCTCCAAAATTGTACATTCTAATGATAATGTAAATGTCTTATCAATGTATCTAGAAGGATATGATGAATATCATCTTTTAAAGTATTCGTTACCATAGTATTTTCGTTCTGAAAATAATTTGCTCTTTAAAATTTTATTTGTTTAGTTCATAAAACATTCAGTAGATGATTGATATTAGTACTAAATGATTAAGAATACTCACAAACACCAAGAGGTGTATTATATGAATAAATTAGCAGTTTTTAGATATCGACAGTAAGATTTATGCTTCTTTGTAATGTATTTTTGAAATGTTATACAAGAAACAAGTCCAGCCCCTACTACTGCCCTGGCCCTCAGTAGAGACTATAAACTCATGAATTTGTACTATTACTTTTCCTAATTCTTCTGACTTTCAGTTTATTTGATGTTGATGCTGTTCAGCTGTAATTTATCAATATTATTGATTTGATGTTATTTAAACATTAATGTCGTTCATCAGACTAATTCATTCATTCATTATAATGTATGTATAATTGTAGAACCTGATGATGAATTTATCGAAAAGAGTACTCTTTGTTCCGTGTCCATTCCTTAAAAGTCTCTTTGCTTATATTTCCAATAACTGATTGATTATACATTCTTATTGTGTAAACTTCGAATAATTTACTTTCAATCGTTTTATTTCCTAAATGGGTTTTCCAATGTGAAGTGTGATTACTACTATGTGGTGAAAAAAGTAGTAATTTGTTTAATACAGTATGTATGTATGGTTAGGTGCAGAATTTATTCAACTTATATTCATGTAAATGTATTTTCATATTTTGTAATAAATATGAAGCTCACTAGCTTCATATATCACTGTACTCTTAGCATACTGTATGTATTATTAAATAAGAATTTTTAGCTTAGTTTAAGCTATAATACTTTGTATGCTTTTTTTCCAGTTATTTCTTAGACTTAAGCGTTTTATCACATAGTTCTAAGTACTTTTTCAATAGTTCTAATTTCGTGTATTAAATATTTAGATTATTTATAATCGGTGTAGTATGAAAACATTTTTAAAGAATTCGCTACTATATGTTGTTTTTGAGATGCTGAGTCATACGATCTCTGATATTCTACTGATGAAAGGCACATATAAGAGTAGTGGAAATCGGTGAAACAAAAACACAATAGACGAAGATGAAAGTGATATACAGATTAGTATACATTTTCAGGATCTCGATGATGACAAAGACTGAATGCATTTGCGCCATTGTAAACAATATTAAGCCATATCGAAAAGACTTCAAATATTGATTATTGTTGAAATTCGAAAATTTCCAGCCAGACAGTGTGTTCAACTCACTGCCACCTGACTCTTACCCATATATAACCAATTCATGGATTAATGCCATGATTTGATCTAACCACTCACTCCTAACTCTTTTCCAAAATAATTCTACTTCAGCTAGCATGGCTGTTCAAGGAAGATGGTCTCTCGACATATGAATATATTGCTTTAGCTACTTGAATCAATGGAACTTTAAAACCTCATCAATTGACTTTTTGTGCTAACTTAACACTCAACGCTTAACTTATTGCTCCACTGAACTTAAGATGTAGGAGGTGCGCACTATCTGGAGGATAGTGTCACTACTTGGAGGAAAGCAAAGTATGAGGGTCATGGACGAACAGAAGTACTTTGAGAGCACACGGAGTCTAGCCAGTTGCTGCTTCTTCATTGCTCACAGTGTGTGACGTGTCTTCCCCTTGGTGAAAAGTGTCGTAAAAGAGTAGAAATTTCAAAAGTAATAAATGGCAAATACATACATAATTGTTTTTCAACTGTGTCACAGACACTGTGCAATCACTCACCCCATACATTTTAATCCATTTTCAACGGGTGAGTGATTTACATCAAAGACGGTGACTTTATATAATTTGTAAAGTGAGAGATTTTGTTCAGTTACTTAGCAGTATTCTGTTGGTACTGCCGTAAAGAATATTCAATAATTTTTCCTTGTAGGACGAGCACTAGTCGACGAAGAATTTTAACAGTATATAAATGAAATTGGGTATCTTCACTACTTGTTTCTCACACATATTTTCCTTTGTTAACTAGAATAACGATTTACTAGGCGGAGCAACTAATTACTTTTCACCTGCTTCAATGTTAGTTGACCACATATGTGGAATGCAATGAGCAACTCCATTCTTCTCTCCTAAATGCCTTCACTGAGCCACAGAAATATCAAAAGACAAAGACCGCTCTTTGACTACAACTTTGTTAGACAAATATAATATATATGCCGGCGGTCCAGTGGTAGAATGCAGAAGATGGGGGTTCGATTCCCAGCCGACGCACTCGTAAACGTCGTCTAGCCTGGAAAGGAGGGAAGGTTGGGCATGAGGCTAGCAAATTCACCCTAATGAAGACAACAACCCTACTGAAACTTCGAGGCATAAAATTCTATGCTCGGTTGAACGCATTGGATGAAAAAATCACCATATCTGTGGATTCACTTAAAAATAAAACTGTGCTAGGTAAACTAGTTTGATTGTTGATGTGGTAGAAAGTTTCCCCAAAAGATCATATCACGTAAAAATGAGTGTAAAATTCAAACACGGGATTTTCTACCCCGTGACTAATGGCTCAAAATGTCGATTATATTTTTAGCCGCTTCCTATTAATAAGGAAGGAATTTTTGAAATAATATAAGTAGATAACACCACGTGTAAACCACATAAGCTCCTTAACGATTATACATATCGGAATAGAAAGACCTAGGTAGTTTTCAACCATTTTGTTGATTGATTATCTTGAGGTGTTTTGAAACATCTAGACATGCTTTGGTGATTCAGATGCATTTCGTGAAGAGTCCTTTAAAAGGCTGATACAATCTTTTTTCCTATTTGACCCAAAGAAATTTTTTATCTGTGTTGTTGAAATTATTCGCCATTCATTTTCAGTCGCCCGAACAAATAAAATAAACAGTAGCAGTAGTAGTCGGGTTACAGAATAACTGCATGATTTAGGTCAGGCTGTCTCTATGAGGCTGTACTGATGATGTGTGGGGCTTTCAGGTGAAATGATAAGGTATGACGTGATTTGATGTTAGTTTTTACAATAGTGTATTATAAGCGTTTGTACCTGCTGTAAATTTCTTTTTTTACTTCTTTTACAGATACCGTGGAAACAACGAAAGACTAACTGTTGTGGTCTGTATACCGCAAGAATACGATTAACGCTTATTATATACCATTGGAAATTGTATAAAAGTGCTTATTTTTGTAATAAATAAATTTATTTTAATATGCCTACTTTTTAACTTTTTGCTATAAAAACAAAGTCGGGTTATGCTTTGTACTCCGTTTGAGCTTTAATACTTATGAAGCTATTTTTTTTATACCATAGTGTATTTCATTTAATGTCTGCAATTAATAAGGTTGGTAGATGAGGTAAACTTCTGATGTGAATGGGAGTTGAAAAGTAACTGCTTCAAAACAGATAACTTTGACGATCGCATCGCCTTCATTGTTATCTATAGTGAGAATCTATCTATCCATTAAACTCCACGTGCTATTTTCAATTACAGTTTGATACATTCGAAAATCTTACTTTTATGATAAAGCTATTCCATTGAACTTCAGTATTAGGGAAAAGTGAAGTTATAAGGTAGATTTGTTGCATCTTCTATATACCTTATAAAGATGATTCCACTAAACAAATTCATTACGAATCAAGTGTGATAAAGGTTGACAACGGTTGAATAATGCTGAAAATTTGTACTCATACCAGTAGTGGAAAACTGTTCGTTTACTCGATACCTTTTATCATTAGGATGCCGGAAATAGCTGTAGTAATTGATGAGAAGTTTTACGTAGTGTTATCTATATATGTTTAGATTGTTTTTAGTGATAAAGTGTCTTTGTGATAATTAATTCATTCTATGGACATGTGTGTCGGTGGCATAGCGGTTACGACGCTCGCCGACCATGCATATGGTCTGGGGTTCGACCCCCGGCCGACGCACTCCTTTACCTCGCTAAGCCAGAAATAATGCTGGTGAAGAGGAAAGGTTGGGCATGAGGCTAGCAACCCCATCCTGTAAAATAAACACTACTGCTACAGAAACTTCAAGCCACTAGCTTGAAGCCCTATGTTCCCTTGGGGAACATGAAGGAAAAAAATGGACATGTGTGAAGCTTTATACTATATTCTTGACATTTAGTCTAAATGGAAAACATTCTCTGATATATATAAGTTGCAAAGCTGAACAAGAAAAGATTGTTTGAGCACTGACACACTGTGCCCACAAACTTAAAGCCATAAAGTGATGGGAAAACTATTCTAGCCTGCTTTTAAATTACTCTAGGTAGTAAATATACACAGTATGTCAACTAAAACACGTTTCGTGATCAAAAATACACATTTTATGTCGATTTTGCTTTTTTTTTAGAAATGGGCCTATTTGTTACAGTTTCAGCCAATTCTACGGGCTATGTACCTAGTCGATCTCAAGTTATTCCACCACTAAAGGGTAGTTTTCCTTTGGATCATCGTGGTGTTTGTAAAGCCGCAATGCTTGAATGGACAAAATGCATGAGTAAAAATCATTGGAACAGTTCCCTGTGCAGATCACAAGCAGCCGGTTATTTACGCTGTCGAGCAGAGAATAATCTAATGGATCCAGAAGAAATCACTTTGCTTGGTTTCACTGAAGAAGAATGGAACAGTACTGACAGTTCAAGAAATTGAGTGTATGCCTTCTTAAACTTAATTATTTTTTTAGTATTAATTAGTTGAACATTTCTGAGACACATGTAAATATATATATGTACTACGACAAAGAAAATGGGACATTTTTCTGTATTCGCAAGCTCTATTTCACAAAATGGGGGGGAATAAACGAAAAAAGACAGTGTAACAAAGTTCAATAAGGATTAGTATTAGTTTAATATCGATTAAAATAAAATACAGAAAACAACAAGAACAAAAAAACAACAATGCTATGTGTTGAGAAAAACAACAACAACAACAAAAAGGAAAAAAAGCGTAATTGATTAATTATAACTGAAATGAATATTGTATAATCTGTAAGACAAAACAAAATGCTTATTCACTTTCAGTTATTCAGATGTTTTTGGTCATTGTCTGTGCGTGTGTGTGTTTGCTCAACTTAGAAGTTTTCGCGCAGATGTTGGGGCTAAGAATAACAATAGCGCCTCAAATCTTTCTAATAGATAATTGATTGGACTGAAAAACCAGTTGAGTGTCTACAAAGTGATGGTAAAATAAAATAGTTAATAGATAATGCATGGAATACGCTGAGGAGTATTCAAATATGTGATCTAGATGACGAGGAATATAAATCCTATCTACATCTTCCACTTAAAACTACTTAAATTTTGCAATCATTTCGGATATATATATATATATATATATATATATATATATATAAGCTCGTGCAGAAATCTAGAAACTGACTTCAAATTGAAGTAGGCGCTTAAGATGTTGCCTAGCAGGGCAATAAAAGTTTCGCAAATAAACCATCCAGTTCAGTGAACACAACTACATCAAAATCATCCATCTGCGCTACAAATCTTCTCCATTATATATTATATATATATATGCTTTTGTAAATGTACATCGATAGGAAAATCAAATATTACTAAAATCTTAATTCTTAAAAAATAATTTGACGGCAGTTGTTAGGATGCAATTATGCCTATGTTGTTTTTTAAGTAAATAATACGGCCAGTGAATCAAGCTATGAGTTCCCCTGTATTTTCCATTACAGAACAAAATGACTGTCGTGTTTTACTAAGGTAACCTGGAGTCAGACTCACTCATAGCATTTAGCCGGATAAAATTCTCTGGCATTTCTACCACCTGTTATATGAATTTCAATAATTTTCTAAATGACGCTGATCTCTGTAGTTATAATATTATAAAAATTCAGCGAAACGAGGTTAGCATTATAAAATGTTGTATAGACATTAAATTTTTTTCGCCTCGGGAGGCAATAAGGTCTCTACATACCTTATTAGAAAGTGATCCCATTTGTTCAGGATAGATGTGAGTTAAACATGTGAGTATGGCAGTTAAAGTACACAAAGCAGCAATGAACAGGATAAAGAATGGCACATCCTTCTTTGGATAGACTGATAGAGTATGGAAACCTGAATGAAAGAAAAAGAAATAATTCGGCTTGTAAAATACTGTATTCAAACATTTAGAATTAGGCAAATGAAAAACTCATTGCGTCCGTTAAGCAGTTAACTCGGATACAGTGAACACATCTACAGAACTATATATTTGCTGGTACTGATACTACCAGGTTTCTTCAGATATATCTTTGGGGATGTAAACTAGCTTACTTAAGTTGCATTTTCCTAATTCGTTACTTTTCGTAAATATGCCACTAGCAATCCTTTGAAATTAGTGTATTTGGGTGGTTGATCAGTACACAGTAAAACTAGGGAAACACTGTATAGCTGCATCACTCGCTCATAACGAGCGCCGACAAAATCAGCGAAGTTGCTATCCAGTGATTACTTCGATTAGGTCAGCAAACACTACTGGTTGATGTGAGCGGTTTCCAAATACTCATCAATCCGTGGTATACTCTGTCTTGCAAATATGCTTGCCATTCAAGATACTAAGCATATAACATTATGATTTGAATGTTTTGGGATTCTACACAAGACTGATAAGTATTGTCACCATACACTGTGTAATCTGCCAAAAAAAACACAGCGAATTTGACTGTCTGTGTTACCAGTTTGCCCAAATAGATATCAAGAATTCGGATAGTCTGAACTAATTTGACTCTCCGGCTTTCTAAGAACAGAAATTGAGATCACTCCCACATACTACCCTTGTATTATCTTGTTAGTAGATTGTGAGAAAAGTTTTGATTAATAACTAATTTGTAATATTTAATAAAAGCGCATAAGCTCTCAGTGTCACCACAAATGTCAGTTGTTCAGCGGTTTGCTTGATGCTTGTTAGAAAATAAGTGTGATAATCACTACAGTCTCAACTTTATGTCGAATTTATTTCACATATTGCTTTTATATCTTACTATCGGCACTGGAAAAGTCTGGCATTCGCCGAAATTACTGGAAATCATAAATAGTTTTACAGGTCACATTGCCCTCGATCACCCAAGTGACAGTTAAACATGAAGATGACAAATTACAAACTTCGTTGAAATGTATTTAAAAAACAAACAAATTTAGAAATTATGGCTAGGAAAACAGACTAGGCATCGAAAAATGAAGAATTAAATGCACTTAGTATATATGTAAGTGTAGCTCATGTGCAGTCTACTCCTTGATCCATTGAAGTTAAACGCTGAGTCTCAATAACACAGTGAACTGCAGATATATATCCTGTAAATTTTTCTATAGTTCTTTGTTATGAATCCGTAAAATAAAATCATCGTGATAGAATTCCCAGGGGAATTCATCAATTGCAAATGATAGGCTCTACGTTATTTGATGTACAAAACATTGACATTTTGCTATAATCTAAACACATCAGATATCGTGAGAGTAATGAATATTTATCAGAAAATATAATCACTGAATAGTTATTCAAAATCGTATATATTGTCATTGAGTGGTTTTTTCTTCAACATACAAATTATCTTTTTGTAAGATCAAATAAGTAATTCACTTGAAGTTGTAGAAACAAATCTAAGAATTTCAAAACGCAATTAGAGCGCTACCATAAATCAACACGTGACTACAGTTCGCATTCTTCCTGAAGACTGATTGATAGTGCACTGAAACACACGCAGACAGTATGTTTAAATAAGTGCATTTAAATACTATTATTATTATGGAAACAAGTAACAAAAAAGCTTCATACTTGGCAGTAGTTCCCTATCAGTTGCTGTAGTCGAATGAGGATATGGGTAGAAAAGATTTCCTTTCTCCAATGGATACGGGATAAGGCGAAATGTTCCCTCCCATGTACAATATAATAAATTGATTGCACCGTCAACAGCCTTCCAATGGGCTAAATGGAAGAAAGCATAAGCTATAGCTTCTGAGTCTCCACGTTTCAATATATGCTCCGTAGGTAATATAAGGGGTTTCATTTCAAGTAAATACTAAAAAATGGAGAGAAAACAAAAGCATAAAATACATAATGAATTTTCTGCATACATTAGAAGTCACCAATAGTGGATATGGTTTAGTTGATTAAAGTTTGTACGAATAAAACCAAATGACAC